TTAATTGGTGTCTTTTTAAGCCATCGCTTTTACAAATCTGTACATCTCTGCATTTGACATATTAAGGCGAGAGTAAGGGTAACATTGAGGGTCATATTTACAGAGAGACAATCCCACTAAAGGTCATCTTTGATTCTCTGACGCTGAAACAAAGACTCTGTTTCAGGCTTGGAGGAAGTGACAATCAGATGTGAATATCTCTCACTTTAATCTATGAACGCCCTGCTGCAGTGTTATGCGCTGATGCAGCAGAAAAGTGATACCTTTCATGTCTACTTCATTGTCCCAGCCTCACCTCCATGTTGCATTTGTTTTTCTTTGCTGGTTTCTCACACACTCACACACTCCGCCTTGTTCTGGCATGTTTTGTGAGCTTCTCCTCCAGCGTTGTTACGTCTCAAGCTGTCAAACCACTCTCCCTTTATTTTCTCCACACTGTGACCTCTGTGTTATCCTGTCTTACATTTCATCTCGCTTGTTTTTTTTACTTGTCACTCGACGAGCTGGGAAAGTGCTTGAAGGCAAATATAAATAGAATTTCTGCAAAACGTACTTATGGTCCCAAAAGTCTCCAACAATGTTACAACCTGAAGAAATCTGTCTTTCTTATCAAGATAATGGTTCTGTTTCTTTTGGACGCCCCTGTTGTTGCAATGTTTCCCTTTGCACATGCTTCTGCTAAAATTAAGAAATTGTGGTCGTTTTTTTACTTTTTATTTAATCTCAATTGAATTTAAAGGTGGGGTAGGTAATTCACTTCAGACACACTTTTTGTTATATTCCATGGAATGCTTAACATCCCGATAGCAATGAATAAATTAAATGCTTTGACAATAAATATATACAAATATGTCATCTGTGGAAGCCGTGGCGCTGTAGAAAGCACGACCAATCATCTGAGCCGGCCCGGCTAAAGTAACTGGATGGCCTACCTGCCTGTCAGCCTTCCATCTGTGCACAAACTTATCTCGTGCCCTCATTGGTCATGTGCACGTTCGTGTGTGTTGGAGGAGGGAAGGAAAGTAATCTGTAAGGAAGTCTGAAGGAAGGGGCAGATTTTTTTCGGTTGTGTACTTTCAAATTCTAGCGCACTCGAGTTGGTTTCTCCATTCTTACCTACCCTACCTTTAAGTTATTAGAGAAACAAGGCTAGCAACTTTAGCGTTAGCGTCGGAGAAACACAGATATTTTGCAAGAAGTTGCTTTTTTTCAGTCTTATTACAAATTGTTTATTACCACGTCTGTGTGTAGTGGAGAGGAAGAGATCTATTTCGATAATTTATCCCCATAACAACCTTCTTGTTGTTCTTCATGTCTGGATCTTACGTTTTCTAAGAGAAACAAGCTAAGCTAACGTTAGCTGTTCGCTTGCAGCCCCTCATATGTCTGCCAAAACAGCCTTGAAGCAAGACTGATTTTTAACATGTTTGGTGTTTTAACCGTCTTATATCACCTAGTACAATTATTTTATTAGAGAACCTTTTGTAGATCAGGTTAAAACCTCCTAAACAAAGAACAATGAAGGAAATTAAACCGGGGAAAAGCCAACCAGCAATTTAGGGAATGACGTTGAACTTCACGACTCCATCCACCCAACTTTCTCTTTTGTTGTGGTTTTAATTGAGGTAAAGCTAATGGCAGAAAAGTACATATTGTGCTTTAAAGGAAACTTTAATTTAATGTTGAAATATGTTGTGGTTTTTGTTCCAGGGGGAAACATCTTCCAACTCTAAGGACACGTAAAACCAAAGACTGAATCCCTGAGTGGATTACTAAACTGAACATGGCCTTTTCATCCGAGAAGCACAAATCCCTCTTCCCCCTCGTCCTCCTCATCTTCGTTTCTCTCACCTGTTTATGCCAGTCGACCAACACCAGCTCCTCGAATACAACCAACACAACCCAAACCACTTCCTCTCCGTCCTCAAATGTCACCCTGAAGAGAATACCTGGCTGCAAAACAGGGCTGAACCCCATCTATAGGTAAGACTCTCACAACATTGGAAAAGGCTCTCAAAACGTACCTGTTCTCTCTTGCTTTCAACCTATAATCCTGCACTCCTACCCCCCTTCTTCTACTTATAGCTCAGGACTGTTTTTGTTGTTATTTTTCCTCGTATTTAAAGGGTCTTTGAGCCCTGGGAAAAGCACTTTATAAATACAATACGTTAATACTTTATTGTCACATCAAGTCTGAAATGTTTCTTGCATCACAGCTCCATTTGCAACATCGATCAAGAACAGATATTAAAACATGACATGATCAACCGAAGAGAAACTTGCTCAAGACCCTTTAACGTACATGTTATTATTATTATCTAACAAAGTCAAAGTTATTGTCAATCTTTCAGTTTGTGTGTACGGACAGAGATCGAAATACCGTTTTCCACAATCCCGAATACAAAACAAATATAAAAATATGTATACAATATGTATATCCTATACACGATCAAAGACACATTTATACATATGCACACATTAAGACATAAATAAAAGCAGAATAATCAATATATACAAAATAACAGTCACTTCAATATCTTTGGGAAATGTGCATTGACTTTTATTTTGTATACATTGATTGTTGTGCTTTTATTTATGTCTTAAAACGTGAAATATGATGTGTTATGTATTACTCCAGGTACCTGTGTGACCGGCGGGCAGCGTGGGGCATCGTGCTGGAGACCCTGGCCTCGTCTGGCTTCCTGTTCAGCATCGCTCTGTTCCTCGGCCTCCTCCTCTGGTCCCTCTGGCTCTGCGTCTCCTTCAAGGAGCAGCGCAGCAGCATCGGAGGAACCGTGTTCTCCATGTCTCTGTTCCTGCTCGCCACCGCCGGGATCTTCGCCATCACCTTCTCCTTCATCATCAGACACACCTCTCAGACCTGCCCCACCAGACTCTTCCTCTTCAGCATCTTCTTCTCCCTCGCCTTCTCCTGTTTGCTGGCTCGATGCCTCGCTTTATTGGGTTTTGCAGCGGCTCGAGGGTGGGGGGAACCGGCCCTCGCTTTGGGACTCTTCACCATCCAGGTCAGTGGTGTAAAGGGCAGAGATAGCAAAAGTACACACATCCTTTCCTCAAGTAGAAGTACAGACACTCGTGTTTAAAAATACTCTGGTAAAAGTAGAAGTACTGACTAAACTTCTTTACTCAAGTAAAAGTAAAGAAGTATGGGCTTTGAAATGTACTTAAGTAAAAAGTACCCATAACTAGCAGCTGTTTTAAAAGAGTACCTGACCTCCCTTTATGTTAATCAGTGTGAGAAAAAGTTTTTAGAGAGTACTCGTCCATGGACAAGTGAGTTTGGCAATTTACTTGTCCGAATACATTTTTCACTTGTCCAGAATGGACAAAAATTGGGGCCACTAGAATCTTCTTCTTCGTCATCGTATTTTACATTTTCCCACGGTTTTTACGACACCGCTAACGTAAGTGAGCAGTAAGATGTTACTGCATCACACATAGGGTTGGGTATCGTTTGGATTTTAACGATTCCGGTTCTGCTTTTCGATTCCAGTTATTTTCGGTTCTCGATTCCGGTTCTTTGAGAGGGTAAAAATAAGTCCCATGACAAACTGGGAGAAAAATATAAGAGAGAGAGAGAGAGAGAGAGAGAGAGAGAGAGAGAGAGAGAGAGAGAGAGAGAGAGAGAGAGAGATAGAGAGAGAGAGAGAG